CCATATACAATCAAAAATCTTCAAATTCAGCTCTTTAGAACTGCCCATTTCCCACATGTGAAGTTTTGGCGGGGAAGTTGCTGGCTCAGCTATGACAAAAGCTGAAAGGCTGGAATTTTGAGGGAATGTTAAAATCGTGTGCGCCTAAAAAACTTCAAATTCAATCTTTTTTGGGATCTTTTTCGCGCACCAGCAACCTTTCATTTCTCGGAACACTGAAATCAGCATTTACAACTTACATGCCACATAGTTGCACAGTTAACTTCCTGAACTTCAAGGGCCAATATGTTACATATTCTAGCTGCTGTGATTCTCGCTATCCTATCACAGTACGAAATAGTGCAAAAATGCTGGTCGCACCGGCTCGCCGAGTCCATAGCAGCCTGAGTATTTTATTTGGTTGCTTGCTGTCTCGCATGAGTCCGCACCCATATTTTCTCATACATCTTACCTAAAGGCAAGTACGATTTTGCGCTGACAACTTTATATCTCCGCAACCAAATTAGCTAGATTGATGAAATTTTTAAAGTGCTACCCAAGGCCGTGTTTACAAAAGTTTAGTAAAAACATTTTTCACGCTCTCTTTACACTTTATTGCAGAAACATGCAATTTGACGCAGATCATTTTGCAATTCCATAACTTCAGTAGTTCAAGTATCTGTGTGCATGGTCTACGAACCATGTTCTGGCAATCGTATGTGAAAACCACATTTCGCTTTCCGTCGTTCCGCATGATGCAATTAGCTCTGATAATTTTTGTGCAAAGACTTAGCACCGTAGAAACGCATTAGGCTTGCCGGTATGTTCATAAGCTTTTGCATTATTCCGTTCTGTACAAAGTTCGCCGGTACCATTGAAATATGCATCGGCAAGCTGGATGGTGGCAGTTAAGTTAAGAAATTTCTTTAAGAATTTTGTTTATTGCTTTCAAATTGAAGGAAGCAACAGTGAAGGCAGTGGATATGTTTTCGCCAGGGTACAGTCGGCCAAAAGCGGATATCGAGCAGAGCCTATTTGATGTGCGTACTATATACGAGCACGGCAAAGTATTTGCTAATTTTTCGCGTTACTTGGTTTCCAATGATGGCAGTGATATATCCATTGACCAGTGTGTCTATTTCTTATATCCGATCAGTGGTGGAAAGCTTGATACCGGTAGGCTGTGGTTTTATTCAACACATCTGAAGGCAACCTCGTTATGCGTCTCTGCATCAGAATTTTCAGTGATTATTGTTCATTTCCAGTCGCAAAATGCCAGTTTTTTTCAGAAACAAAAGAAATTCGCAAGCATGCTGAATCGCCAATTCCATCTAGCAAGAAGATTTGCCCAATATCTTGCGCACATGCTGCTGCTACTGCCAAAAAAGTACCGCAGAATGAACTTCTTCTCAAAGCGTCTATTTTGCCAGAGGAATCGATTGTTCCACAAAGCGTAATGCTTTCAAAAAAAAATTGTCTTTAATTTTTATCCGGAGGCCTAACCTCAAAAGCTAACTGGTATGAAAGGCCAGTGACGTTTCTCAATTCTTAAAAATATTTTAGCGTTGAATAACCAGTTCCTCCTCAGCGTCGATCTCTAGTTGTCACTTCCTTGTTCAGCTCGTTTTTGTAAGGGAAACTGTATTAATAGCAGTCTGGCGGGCTGCTGGTTACTATTGGTATCGTCTCATCAAAGGCGCAAAAACGTTTAAAAAAACAAATCACGAAGAGACTATCAGTGTGTGTATGTGTTACGTATGTATTTGTTTTCGGATTATATCGCTCAGCTTAGAAACCAAACGGCATACTACAACTATGTAGCCAGATTGAGTAGTACGATGCATTTTTATGAGGGTGTTGGCTGTCGGTGTGGTGGCATGTAAGCGAATGGCCCAGCCGATGGTTGTCTTCACTGAACGTGACAGAAAAGGCCAATGAGTGCATTACAGTAAGTGTGCACATATCAAACTGTGAAGCAGTGACCATTCGTGTTTTTAACGCTCGTACTGCTGTAGGAGACCGTGCAAAAACGCATGATTGTGCCGGCAATCCGGAGGTAGCGCCAGTCCAATTACTTTATTTTGATTATTCAGCTTCAGGGTGGAGCAGTTGGGAGCCAAATGCGTTAGTAAGTTAAAAATTTCCGACTTTTTGGGGTTATATTTCTGTTTGTATTGGTACATTCAGCGTCGTCTGCCTAACACAACTGTTAGGTTTAGAGTTTGTTGCATTGCACTGGTACTTCGATGCCCCAGGTGAACTGTTGATTTTGCGTGCGAACGATTTTAAATTGCACTAAGCACATTTACAGATGGCATATGATGTCGTGCTACGCATTCTGAATCGAGACTGGAATCCGCTTCTTGCAAGCCGAAACACGAAGGAGTTCCAACAGATGGCTGCTGAAGTTATCAGCGCGGTCAGCTACACCATTTCCTCTCATATAATTTAAGATAGAGACTCACATTTATACGAGATTAAACTTGTCCATATCAAATGAATTGAAACCCCGATACTGACGTTCAGGCTTACCGATGTGATCATGCATTTTTACATAATTCCATCTAATAAAGAGGTTGCCTATGCTACCGGAGTACGACTGGGGTACTGCAAGTACGTAAAGCCCACGTTTAGGTAGTTTATCTTATCATATTAACGAGCAAGTGAATAGCAAACGTTTTTTAGAAAATACTACTTTTTGCTCCGTCTGATCACTGTTTTAATTCGGTGCCAACAAGGTCGCGAGTTAAATATTCACTTGTAGACAAGCGAAGAAAAATTTAGGCATGCATTAAAGCTGGATTTGGAATATTTGGATTGCCCATTGATACGAAATTCTGATAAAATTCCACATTTCTATCTTTTTTCGTTGGCGAAATCACATTCTTGCCAAGGGCTTCGCAAAAATTCTTTTAGGCATCCGTACGTGAAACTCAAATGCACATCAATGTTGAATTTAAGCTGTATGAATGGCATCTAGGCTAGGAACATAACTGTGAAATTCCAACTTCTTAGTTTCTGCGGTTGCTATGTTGAATGTGGGTGACAAAAGTCCGAACACACACACACATACACACACAAACAAATACCTACCAGCAACCTTTCGACAATATGCGTTTTGCATTTGCACAAAATGCAAAAACGCATAAAAATGGGTAAAGCATAAACTTTCGCGCTTTACCGCTGGAAAAGTGCTCCATTCAGAAAAATGTGTGTAGAACTGCGAAGAAGTGCTAGTGAATTTTTCTAGCAGAAGATCTGAATTTTTGGAGTCTTCTTCAGGAAAAAAAAGCAACCTCTACAATTTTACAGGTGAATGCAATGATTAAAGCGAAATTTCCACTGACGCGAGTTATTGAAATCAAAAAATTCAGGTAACTGAACACTGGCTAACGGTTGTACAAGTAAGTGAACAGTTATTTTTTGAAAGTATAAATTGAAGTCACAAATTTCAGCAAGGGCAGCGTGCTCGCCTTCTTGACTTTACTATCTGAAGACAGTGCTCCACCGACAGAAAGTGATGTGAAAGACTTCTTGAATGAGGTAAGTTATTTTGAGACCTCCGCGAAGGGTGATTGAATGACCGGAATAAATTTCTAATTTAGTTTATAAATCTGTCTATCATTAGTAATATGTATTGTTGTTCAGCAAGGAATGCTCCGCGCACCGGAATCGTTACATTTGCAAGCCACAGCAGTCACGTTCAGGCAAGCAGAGAAAGGTAAGCATGCTTTTCCTTGTTGCTACTGTACTCGTTACACTTTCTGTCATTTTAATAATAAGTAGAAGTAAAGAATCTCAAAGATTTTGCTAGTTTGCAAGAACATGTTAAACGAAAAACAGGCTCCTTTTTTATGAAGGTGGTAACTAAAACTAGTAACTTATTGCTATCAGTTTCCTTGCGTTGCTTGGTTTTGTTGGAAACAGAGAATAACATTTCCTTGCCTTGACGCCAGGCGTACTGCCTGAAGCTCAATATGTTTCATGACGCAAGCTGCGTAAGCTCATCCTTTTCAGTCCTACATTCCCCTGCAGAGCTTTTGGCTTAGCTATTCCTAAACTTTCAAGCACATTAATCAGATTTCTACAAATTAGGAAAGCATTAGAAATTGTAGAGGACATAGGTATACTTTGATTAATCTCTGATTAACTAGCTGAACACAGTGTATTGCACAGTTTCCGGCAGCAATATATTAAAATATATTACCACAGAAATTGCCACAATTTATGTGAAATATATTGAAATTACCACAGTCGTCGTACTGACGAGGTGCAATTGTGGTAATGCTAATAAATGCATACAACTTAATAGACGGAAACATTTCTTACCATCATGACAATTTTGTTAAGACATCTTGCAACTTTTGTTAATTTCTTAATATTATTTGCTTTTGTCTTCCTCCAACTTTAAGATATTTTCCTACTATGTTGAAATACTTTTAAACGTTCGATGGCTACAAATCGGCAGGGCAAAAACACTGGCTCGAAAGCTCGAACTACATTGTATTTTCTTGAATAACTTCTTGCAGTATTGTCGATGAAGGCCGATCAGATTCGAAACTGGATCATTTTCGGTGTCGGTGCCTCTTTACTACTCATCGCAACGTTTCTTGTTTGTTGCACCATCAGTCGCTCGCGCAAAGCACGGTGCAACCGCTTTGTAAGCCGTTCAGTCATTTATATTTGTTGATAAGTTGTTAATTGGTATGATTATTTTCAATAATTTTTGCCCTGAAGAGCGACTTTTGCAGAGCAGTTATCAGTCGAATTATCCGGTGAATGGATATGGATACAACGTAAATCGTAAGTGCCAATCGCAAATGCTATTCACTCAAACATCTTGCTAGTCAGCAATATAGCATAAGAAAAACGAGACTCTTTTTTACGAAAACAACAAAAATCATTGGTGTCGCGCATTGGGCGAGCCCCGTGCGATCATGCGTTTTTGCAGTGTTTCGTGCTGTAATAAGATCATTCGAGATTTTGCCAGCTAGAAACCTCTTGTACATACTGGTCCTCGAATTTCGGGAAGGTACTTATCTAAGCTATACTTGAACAAGGAAAATTCCCTCGAGATCCCAGGCTCCTAGCTTTCTCAGTTTCCGAGTTACCCAAATTCCAGCCATAAAATTTTACGGGGCTGTGCGTGGCAATCACGCATAACGAGGGGCTGAATTTAATAAATTTAAGTTGCAGATGAGTTGGGAGCATTTCCTGAAAGTTTCAGCCTCTCAGCTTCCCCGGTACCAAAGTTAGCCATTTTCGCGCCAAAAATTTTCACGGGGCCGAATGCGGGAACCACGCATAACGGGGAGCTAAATTTGATAAGTTCAAGTTGTAGATGAGCTGGGAAGATTTCCTGAAAGCTTCAGCCTCCCAGCTTTCCTGGTTCCGGAACTAGCCATTTCTGCGCCAAAAATTTTCACGGAGTCGTATGTGGCAACCATGCATAAAGGGGGGCTGAATTTAATAAATTTAAGTTGTAGATGAACTGGGGACATTTTCTGTAAGTTTCAGCCCCCAGCTTTCTTGGTTCCCGAGCTAGCGATTTTCGCGCTAGTAACCCTCACGGGGCCGTATGCGGGAACTACGAATCCCCGGGGGCTGAATTTGAAATCTTTGAATCCTACTTGGACTGGAAACATAATCACAAAGTTTCAGCTTTCTAGCTTTTCTGGTTCTCGAGTTAGCGGTTTTCCCGCCAAGGCTTTGAGGCGTTCGTACGCGGGGCCTAGACATGCTTGAGGGTTGGCACCGCAGTCCTGGGGTGGC